AACTTCATGTGACACGAATTTCGAATTTATTTTCACATATAGAAAATCAATTGATGTGACATGTCCTGTGACTAATACCTTCTAAATTTGTACTAGATCGGAATCCGTTATGATAAGGTTTGACTGTAAACAATGAATAATCGCATGTATATATTATTCCATAATTGGATCTCGGAAGAATTTTAGGTTTATTATTATGTTTTGTAATACATAACTCTTGTTTATTTATTTATTTTATCATCGTAAGTTTCAACAGAAAAAATTTTTTTTTGCATTGTGTGTATTTATAAATTCATTTGTTTATCAAAAAAGTCACATTTTCTGTATCCAGACACGTCCATATAAATCTTTATTATTTTTTCATATCTCAAATTTTATTTTTTATATCAAACATACTTTTATATCAAATCAAATTTATAGCTAACTGCATTCATATATTAAAAAAAAATTTTGTACATATTGTATATATAAATATAAAATTTCTATTTAAATGTCTAAATGTAAAGAAGTTTCACCAACACTTGCATCTTGAGAATAATTTACACTATGGACCTTTTGCTCGTCACTGGTGCCATGAAATTTCTACTGAAAATGGCTCAGAATTTTTATCCTATTCGTTTAGGATAACAATTTTAACTGAACTAAATAGTAGAAAATTTTTGCTTCGTATTATTATGATAAGATCCAAAGGTTTACACCAGAGGATATGCATAAAGAACTTATTGAAGAATCTGTTCATAACAGTATTGTGACCCAAAACTCTGAGTTTAGGGAAGACCCGAAACAGAAACTAACAGAAACCAGTAAGTTAGTAGTTTATGCTTAGGTTTAGGTTTAGTTTTAGTTTTAGTTTTCTGCTTAGTATAAGTTCATTTTCCGAAACGTTTTGGGAAGTCAAAAGAGTTTCTGGCCACAACACTGCATGTGACCCAGGCAAGGTTTTTTTGTTTTTTTAAACGGGTCCAACCCCTAGAGCTGATTTTTTATAAATTTTGTAATGTAAAAAAGCCAAAGAATATTCCAAATAACAATTCAAAAAGAATTTGGTGGCAAAGGTAAGCATTTTGTTAAAGATGGTTTTTTTTAAATAAGATATATATTTATAGTGGGGTTATTGAAATGGATATTTATAATTTGATTTTTTTAACGTGAAAGGTGCATGATTTTATGAACAACTTTTATGCTTATGCTTGAATTGATTGGGATGCTTGCTTTAATACAATAAAAAACTTCTAATATTTATTCCTAAAATATATATATATATATTGCTATTGAATACTCGATTTTCTTTACACAAAAGGGTTAATGGAAATTAGATTCATTCATTGAATAGAAATTTCCCATAAACTTTATTTTTAATTTGGTTGTACTTTGTGTATAATTTACACTTTAATTAATCAAGTTTTTTCGATTAATTTGGCTAATTCTTTGTTTTCTGAACTTTGCCAAGTTCTTATTTCTTCACTAGTTATCAACAACAAAGATTTCCCGAGTCACTCATTGAAAAAGATGCATTGTAAACAAACTATGATGTTTAATATATAGCATTCATTAGATGGAAGTCTTCATGACAACCAATTCGAAAACTTATTCATTTATTTCTGCTGTTGTATTGTTAACGTCAGCTCTCTTTTACAATTATTTTATAAAACTAATTTATTGTTACATTTACGCTCAATATTATTGAAACTTGTTTCTCAATCAATAATTAAACTATATTCGTAAACCTTTTAATTTTTTTATTATTTCCACTTCTTATCATTCAATATATTTCCATTTTATATCACGTTGAACTCTATAATTTTGTAAGGTGTCTCTCAACCAGCAGCGTAATAATAAACGTTCACCATCTTATAGACTCTGTACGATGAAATAGCATTACTGCCATGATGTCTATTGTAAACCGTTGTTATTCATGTATTTTCCAAATTCCTTGCTTCGTTTGAACTGAGCTAATTAGAGAAAAAATTCATAATAGAAAATCTTTCTATTGTATGTACTTTGACTTTTATAGTCGCGATGTTTTGTTAAATAATGGGTCTGGGATACTTTACCGATACCCACTTTACCGACAGGACACTTTACCGACACCCACTTTACCGACAAGACACTTTACTGACAGGACATTTTACCGACAGGACACTTTACCGACAGGACACCTTACCGACAGGACACCTTACAGACAGGACACTTTACCGACAGGACACTTTACCGACAATCTAAGTAAAGTCGAACTTGACGTAGAAATGGTCTTGCGAGGAACACCACGACCCCCACAGAAACCACAAGATCGTAATCGTGAAAT